CCCCGCCCCGCCCCGGCATGTTGGTCTCGTGTACATCCGTGTCGTAACTGGACCAAGTTTGCCCTTGTGGTGGTGGTGGCGGTGGCGACGACGGGGGCCTCGTGGGCGACGGGCGCTGCTGTTGCTGCTGCGGCTGCTGCGGCGGCGGCAATGTCAGCAATGACGGTGCCGGAGTAGGATGTACCTGGAATGTGGCCCGTCATACGGCATGTGCGGGTCCGGCAGTTGTGCAGGCACCGCTGCCGCCAACTCCCGCACGCGCACTGCGCATCACGACAGCAGCCCCATTGGGTGATACCAGTGCCATTGCATCATCTTCGATGGCAAACGGTGGCGGAATCGAAAATCCATAGGGCCCATCTGAGTAGGCAGCGGTGTCGCTGGCGGCTGCGGCAGCAACTGTACGGGTGGCAGCAGCGGTGGCAGCGGCACCTGGACCGCCGGCACCGCCGCCATCCCGCGGAGCACCGTCGTTGGGGGTATTGGGACACTCGCTGCCAGTCAGACCACATGCAGCGAGCTTAGCCGTGGCAGTTGCCCTGTGGAACCAGACTGCGGCGGCGGCCTCACCATTGCTTTCCACCTGCTGCCGTCTACCCCGACGGCGGTAGTAGTGTACGACTAGGATGCAGCCCAGCAAGGCGACCAGCAATACGGCAACCACGCCACCGATGGACGTGCCAACAACCGCCAGCATGCTCGGACCCGACGGACGGCCACTATCGCCACCGCGACCGACACCGACGCCGCCACCAGTGTCACAACATTCACGCTGTCCAACCTGCCGCCAGGCATCCTAGCCGCTGGGATCTGTACGACAAGGGCATCGGGTGCTGTTTGGCTCGACGCATTGGGAGACGATCCGTACGATGCAGCAGGGACAATAGGCACAGAGCCGAATGGCCTATCCAGACGCGGTGGCTGAATAGACCTGGCAGTGTACGGAGGCGGTGGCGGTGCCGGCGGCCGCGGCGACTTCGATGTCAGCGGTGGAGGTACCGAAGCGGATCCAACAGCTGACGGCGCGCTGGGGCCCTGGAGACCAGGATCAGCGGACTGCTGCATGACCCGTGGGTCAGTGGATGCACGAGAACCTTCATCGACGTCCATTATCGCAGTTGTCGGATGCGGCGGTACAGCAGGCTCGTCGGGCGGCATGGCTGGCGGCGGCGGCGCGGTTGGCTGTGGGAGGAAGCTTGGCAGCTTTGGCGGCTGGGTGACGTCCTTCGCGACCCGAGAGGTCTTGTTGTCCAATAGCTCATCCGGATCACCGCCGCCGCCGGCGGTAGCCGTGACCCTACCGTCCCTAGAGCTCGCCTGCCGTACAATGTTTTGCAGCGTTGCTACGAGCTCCACGGACACGTCGGTGCCGTTAGCGGCCCTTTCCAGAAGGTTCTGCAGGCGCACAATCGCTTCTGGCGAAAGGACAACACCATCCGTGGCGCTGCCGCCGCTGTTGGTTTCACCCGCAAACGGAGGCTTCAGCTTGGACACCTCTGACGTCCCGAAAGCTCTGCTGCCCGTACTAGACTGCGCCAATGGGTCAACAGAGGGTGGCGGCAGGGTGGCGGCAGCGCCGGCGACGGCGATGGGACCATGGCCTGTAAGTTATATATATGTACACTGTCGGCACCATCAACACCACAGCATTGCACCAGCCGCCGACTTCGCTCAAATCGCTGGATTCACTGACTTCAAGAGCGGCAACTACGAAGTGCCTATCCTTGCCTTCTGTATTATCTAATTCTTCTTCTAAATGTTTGGGGCATTGCGTCTGCGGACTTTCGGAGCCCTTTGCTTTGGTCAAGAATGAACGAATGCCCCGTTGACCTAAGTTGAATGCAACAGCGGGCCGTCTCATGGTGATATCATCAAATATTTTATATATAAATAGTGTATAAGTTCCAGATGTTCAGCTTTATCTGTGCAGAAGGCATTTGGGGCGACTTATGGCCGAAGTAATGAACCAGTACTGTAACGCCGCTAAGGCGGCCCTTGGCTCACCGGGCCAACGGTATCGTACCAACGGTACATCCAAGAACTATTCATAATCTTCCAATACCAAACGGTATTTATCAATACCACCTTTATCGTTGGATAATTTCCTTTTTCGCAACTGCTTGCCAACTGCAAGCTTTGTTACAACTTTGGTATCTTAGACCAACCGGTCAAAAGACCTCGGAGTCGAGTACTCCAACGCTTCCGCACCTACATCTCAGTTTCTTCAAACATTTTCTATTTAGCCCTCATGGCCAGTCCCAGGAACCCTCAACGCACCCAGTCGGCGGAGGCCGACCATGAGCGCTACCAGCTGCGCCAGGTGAGCCCGTCAAAAGCGCAAAAACTGGTACAAAAGGTCCAGGACATGTACGAAAAGTACGTGAGACGCGCCCAGCGTAGGGGCATAACACCGCCGTCGCGCATGTTTGACAAAGTCAGACAATTCTGCGAAGAGCAAGACTATCGCTCCGCACTAGGCTTCCTAATGGAAGCTAACGAGGAACTCTCTTACGTGCAGAAAAGCCGCGAAATGAGGGAACGCCTAGCCAATGCGGCGCAGGACGCCGACAACGACCCAACAGGGCCGGGGCCATCGCGCGCACGCACTGCGCAGCCAACGGCTGCCGCAACGGGGCCGACCAGGGTAACGCTGCCCACGGCCGCGCTCCAGCCGCAACGCGGCACACGGCAGGGTGAGTTGCGTGAAGAGCGTGAACGTAACGACACCACTGCGGCTGACCTCATCCCGCCTGAGGGGAGGTTGCCACCACTTTCCCACCCACACCGCCCAATTGGCGCAATGCCACCATGTAGATTGGTGCTTAGGTCCCCGCAACAAAATGTTGCACGTATTATCGCACGAACTGACGATATGGACCCCGCGGCACACCCAACAGGTGGAGCCCCCAGCGACGACAAACTCGACAAGCTGATGGACAAAATCGACAAAATGTCGAAACGAATGGAAGACATCGAGGCACACATCCAGGCCAAAGCCGCCGGACCAATTATTCCATTTCTTCCAGGCTCAGACCCCCATTTATTCCCAAAAAAGTAATATATTACCAAAAAAATAAACACTGGATAGGGCCCGCGAGTACTTCTACGATGTCCTCTACATCGTTGTATAGGTCATAAACTATCTGTTGTTGCCCCGTTGTGTCCTTTGCCTGGCCTTTTCCAGGCTTCCAGGGTATCCTGTCCTCCAGTATTTGATCACGGGCGACTTTCCATCGAGGTCTCCACCATTGCGGGGTGAGGTGCTCTGGTGGCTTCGGTGTCCCCGGTAGCGCTCCGGCCGGTTCGGGTGCAGGCGGATCACCGGCGTGGTCCCTGTCGGCGGTGTTCGGGCCGGCCCCTGACGCCTCCGCGCCTGCGCCGGCGCGAGGGTTACGTGGCGCTACCGGTGTACAGTCGAGTCCCTTTTCTGCAAGGTACGCCAGCACTGGGTTTGGGGTACCGATTTCTCCTGTCACGGGGGTCATGCCGATGCTTAGAGTGCGACGGGTTTGCCGGCTTGGGCGCGGTCGCGGTCCCTGGACGATAGGCCCAGGGGGGTTCCCTAGGTTGGGCACACTCCTACGGGTGTCTTTTCGCAGAGCTGCCATGACGCATCTCGTTTCCATATAGGATGTGCATTGCGGGGCCGGGTCGCGGAGTTGCACGCCGTGTATAGCTGCACTATCTGTTCCCACGTTGCTGTTGTCACAGCGTGTATTGTTGTTGATGAAATCCTGTTGCCGCTGGTGGACGGATCTTGTGCGTTTCCGTCCTGTGCAGGCTGGTTCCGCAGGGTGGCTCGGCGGCGCTGGTGGGTCACTCTTCATGTCGTCTGGCTCTGCGCGAGGATGGTGTGGCTTCTCCGTGGTCGTGCTCCACACGACAGGTGTGTCGCGGCGTACATGTGGGTCGAGGGATGGTGCTAGTATCGGGTTGGGGAGACTTGATTTGTGCCGGAGGCCGGTGTACGGAGGGTCACTGGGGATCTCGCGGAGGCGTCTGTCTTCCAGAGGCAGCGCGGACGACCAGCGACGTGGGTCATGTGCCTTCGTGTGTGGAGCTTGGGGGCATTGGGCACTTATCGCTAGGCTTAGTCGATTCAAGGCGATCTTGTGCCGGTGCTGCACCTTGCCCCGGGGGAAAAGCTTCTGAAGATCAGTGGTGGTGATGAGGTGTTGTGTTGTGTTCTTGTCTATGAGCGCGTGCATGTCTAGGCCCAGCTCTGTCAAGGGGAGCAAGCATCTGTACGGCAGGGTTTCGGACTTTGTGTCCTGCCGCGCGTTGACGGCGGAGGCGGCCGTCATGAGAGTGTTTAGGGATGTGTTATACGGCATCCCTTTGTCGGTGACCGCGATGCCATGGTCACGCGCCAAGGTCAGCTGTTTCAGGGTCGTGTAGAAACTGCTCTCGCGTTTCAACGTGTGCATCCTAGTGTCGGCCGCCAGACGACACTGCAGCTCAAGCATGGCTCGTGTCACGACGCCTAGCCGGCCTTCATCATTCAGGGAGAGGACCAGCGCGCGAGCTGCCATGCGCACATAGACCGGTAGTAGGGACCCAACGCCGAGTCCATATTGTTCCACCGGTAGCAGCACGGCGCGTGTGGGAAAACTGGTGGGCAAGCGGTAGCAGCGTCGGGCTGCGCGTGCGATCATCGCATCCAAAAGTCTGATATCATTAGGAGTGTATGCCATGGTGGAGAAGCTGTATGACACTACCGCTTGTATACAAGTCTGTATGATTCTGATACATTGGTCCGGCGATGCTAGGGATCCCTGAAGTAGGTCGCCCTTGTCCCTCACCGCCTTGCAGACGTGGGACATCTGTGCGCTCCAGTTGAGGGTCAGTGTTACGTGGACCCCAAGGTACTTGTAGGGTTCCGTGGGGGGTAGGTACGGCACTGACTGGTCGCTGATTTTGATTTTTTCATCCAAGGCTGCCTTGAGGGTGCGTGCACACGTGGGTCCGTTCAGGCCTCGGTCGGCCCATGCCCTGTGGTGCAGGATG